GGCTGATCAATCAGAACACTTAAGATCTTTTTGTTCTATAACAATGTTAAGATTATTTTCATCAAAATTATTCTCATAATTCAAATTGTGATATACCAAATGCATTACCTTGTATTTATTATAATTAAAAGCCATCTGCCATTTACTTGCCTAACTCACCAAATAACCCAAATCCTTTTGTAAAGCAGTAACTTCATTCTCACAGTCAGCAACACCAAAAATTTTAACATTAGCAAATTTGAATAAGTTATTGACTACTAGCTGGAGTACCTGTCCCCTGGACTGAAGTTATGTAAATTCATGATTAATGAAAGGTTATCTTAGGATATGAAAAGTTGTATTTGTAAGAAATGCAAAAATGCCCATAAAAACTGCAAAATGCAAAACTGCAAAGTTGCATGGACCCAACAAATCATCATGCCAAATTTTGAGAAGGCCCATCAATAGGGGGTGAAGTAATGGTAAAAAATGCCCATAAAAACTGCAAAATACAAAACTGAAAATTTTTATGTATCTTCCCCATAGAATCAATGAACCTCCATACCAATTTTGGGGAAGATCCATCCACCCCCTGCAAAGTAGTTATATGGACATACAACACTATTATACTTACATAGATTTCTTCAGCTGTGTCATTGTAGTTACATGGACATACAACACACACAACAGACAGTACTATTATATTTATATAGATTCCTTCATCTGTGTCATTGGTTAAATCAAATGGAGCAAAAGTTCTAACATTAAGCCATGACGTACTCCACTTGTGACATTAATCCAGCTTGACTGAACTCTAGTCTGTTTTCTATTCATTGAACCAACCTATCCCTCCCTCCCCACACACCTACAGAGAACTTTTTTAACATGACTTTTGATTTGGCAACTTCTCAGATGTTTTCTGAAAATCCGGATACACCAAATCCATCTGTACCTTCATCTACAGAAGAAGTATCCTCTTCAAAGAATGTCAAAAGATTAGTAAGGAAAGATTTTCTCTTAGAGAAATCATGCTGTATATCCATCAATTTTTTAACTTTGTTAATTAAATGACTTTGCAAAGCATCATTTATCAGACTTTCAAAAACTTTTTCTATCACTGGTGTAAGACTAATAGGCCTATAATTACTGGAGCAATTTTTATCACTTACCTTGGAAAAGGGAATAACATTAGCCAACTTACGATCTTTTGGCAACTGCCTACTATTCAAGGACTTAGAAACAATACTAGCAAGTAACTTGCACATCCAATCCTTAACCTCCTTCAAAATCCTTGGGTAGATCTTATCATTGTTTAAACATACCAATTTTTTTTAACAGGCTCAGGATTAGGAATAATGCTTAAATCTTCATTAGTAAAAACTGAAGAAAAAGTAGAATATAATTATCCAGCTATCCCATAATCATGAGATATTAGCCTTCCTTTAAAATCCCCCAAAGGCCCTACTCCCATCATAAAATTTTGGTTACCACTGATGAATTTAGAGATCCTTACTATTAATATTTATATTGTCAGCCAACCTTTTTTCATATAGTTTTATTTCATGTTTTAACAACTCTCTTGATCTTTTTTATAATCTTCCAAATCTCCCATCATGGCAGTCAGTATAAACTTCCTATATTTATAATGCTTCTCTTTAATTTTTTCCTTTAAACCTTTTGTGAGCCAAGCTAGGTTTTTACTTGCAGGCACCTTTCTTTCTAAAAGGATCATGTATTGTATTAGTATTTCCAATTAATTCAGTTGCCCACTTCACAGCAAGTAACTCTTGTCTCATTCTTTCAAAATTTATTTTGAAATATTGAACCAAGTTCTCATTATTCCTTATCTCTATATGCAGCAAATATCAAATCAGATTGAGCATTGAACACTTGCACCCAGATGTTCCCCAACCTCCACCCTATCTTTATTAGAAGTTAACAATAAATCTAAAATAGCATTGTTCTTAGTAGGTTCCTCAACCAATTGGTGAAGAAAAACATCCTGCCCAGCTTTTAACAACCTGTCTCCTTCATGATTTCATTCTAACATATTCCAATCTATTCCTAAAATTAAAATCTCCCATAATTATAACTTTATTAATAGTTGAAGTCTTTATCTCACTGTAGAGTTACTCATTAATTTTATCAACTTCATCTAGTAGTCTGTAACAAATTCCAGGTGAAAGTCTTCTCCCCTTGTAATCACCATCAGAAACCCAAACAGATTCAACCTCAATGCTATTAGCTTTGATATTTTCAACTTGAACAGGATGTAACTCACATTTTACATATAAAGCCACTCCTTCCCCTTTATTTAGAAATCTATTAAACCTATAACCCTGTATTTTAAGTGAAATACTTGGCTCTGATATGGCTATGCCTTTTTTTTTTCTTATTACTTGCAGCTTTTATGCTTTCTGTTGTAGGTAATATGCATTGTAGGTAGTGCATGAGAGTAATAAATCACAAAGACAACAAATATGACATGTTCCTTTCTTTAATTTTTTGTTTTCATCACATACTCTGCCAGTTACTACTGTTTTAGTGCTTCCTGGTAACCGATTGAAAATCTGAAAGTTGGGTTGAAATCAGCTCAACTAATGTAACTAAAATGTTTATTAATTATTACTATTGCACTTTTTTGATTATGTGTTTCATAATTTTGTTTCAGTCAAATTTTTAGTAAAGTGTCCTATTCTTTTGTGGCCGTGGGTCTTGAAGAAATTTCTATTATCATAATTGTCTACATTTAATCAGGTTTCAATTATTCCCATTGCATCAAAATCCTCTATTCCAACATCAGTGGGTAAGCATTAAGTCTACAGACTTATAATGTTAAAATCCAGGGTATGATTTGCCATTGTAGCTTTGTGCTACACCAACCAGTGTTCTAAATTCATCAGTCTAGCCTTACATTAATAACAATTTGGCCACCATTAAAACTACTATTGTATTTTCATCCTACATTTTATTTATTCTTCATTATTCTGGCCCTCACCACTACCTAGTTTAGTTTAAAGGTTCCCTTACAGTTCATTTAATATCCTCTTCAAACAATCCAGCTCCTACCCTATTTAGGTATAAACCATCCATTCCTAAAAACTCTTTTTACCATTGAAATAATCCCATAAATCCAACCAGCTCATCTTTACATATTAACCTAAACCTAACATTCAGCTTTAGTGATCTACCTATAAGTTTTCCCCACAATTAAGTCTTGGTAGTATTCCTTACAGAATTAAGTTATCGTTGCCCTTTTATTTTTGAATGCCTTTATCAATGTTTTGTACTTAACAATTAGCTCTTCTGACCTACTTTTTTTCTACATCATTAGCCCATATGTACACTACACAGACTGCATCACTGCTAGCACACTTTACTATGAGCTTGGTTTCATCCAATGCAGTCAATTTCATTACATGTTGGGTCATATTCTGTTGGTATGAGCTTGATCCAGTCTTAGCACTGTACAGCTGAATTATTGCTGGTCACTAAATAAGGTAACACAAAACTAGTATTAGCCTCTGATGTGACACTTTTATCATTGCTTGCAATGATTGATCAGAATGACAGTGCATATATTGATGCTGCTAGAATTGCGAGCATAAAAGATCCTAAAGTACATGTAATCTACCCTAGCATATAGTAAGATTTTTTTATTTCATTGAACCATATGGGTATTCTTGAAATGAGAGTTTGACATTATTTTTCTGGTTTGGCATCCCAGAAAGATTTGGATTAACCACCATTTTATTACTAAACCAAATTAGTGATGTTGTGAAGTTTCATATTGACCACAATATCACTAGACATTTCCATTTTCTTAATGAACCCCTCTTACAATGTATTTAAGTTTTGAGTCATCAATTTCATGCCTAAATGTGTTTGGTCACCGAGATAAAACAGTAAGAAAGATCTAAAGTGAAATATATGAGAGAGAACTAAGTAACTTGGATATATTCCTAGTCTTACAGCACATGTGACATGCATTGATTTTCTACAAACAAGTTGAACACAATACACATGTTCCCAATCTGAAACTAATAATTTGTAAAATAGTCAGGACTGAAATTAAATACAACTTTATTTCCACATAAATAATAAAAACAGAAGTTAAAAATAAGGAATACGTGGGATTGCAGTAGCAACATTACAGACAGAACTACATTGTATATACAAATGTTTACATAACATTAAACCTTTAAAATATATAAATTTATAGCTATATACAGATTATAATTTTATAACATTACATTTGTTTTTCATAAAACGTGTGTGGTGTGTGTGTGTGTGCACGAGAGAGAGAGAAACTGTACTTTCTTATACATTTGGATTATTCATATATATATCCAAATACAATAACTTAGAATACCATGTCTATATCAAACTATGCAATAGATGCATCTAGTAAATGTTCAGTAGACTAATATTATCAAGACACTGATCAAAGACCTGATAAAACAAATAATGAAACGCTGAAAATATAAGCTGATAATGATTTAGATATACCTATAGACACACAGTTTAGGTACCATTAGTTCTGTAATAACATCACAAAATTTGCCGAGTATTACCCAGTTTCGGAAACAACAAATTATAACATGTTAGTCATGACAAGGAATAATAAGGGAAATAATTGACTTTATAGTAATCAAAGTTAATTTAAGTTATGTGAATAATATTATGGTATTGCAACTAATATATTATTCCAGACCCTGACAAAACTTGGTCTTGAAATTTACGAGTTTTCTTTTTATACATTACCTACTATATTAAATCAGAAATCTCTTAAGTGGATTACATTTAAGAAAAATTTATATTGACCTACAATCAAATATAACTCTTTGTAAATATTCTGACAATATTAAATTTTTTATTTAAAATTATGAAACATTTTAAAATCTTAATATGAGAAAGAGAAAAGTATGCCTTACTACAGATAATTTGCAATGCGATAATAGAAACCATAGGAAGCACATGAAACATTTCAAATTTTAGCTATAGCAATTTTGAAAATATAAATTACAATCAGTATTATAACTAAATAGAAACAAAACTATCATTTAACATCATAAAAATTGTCAATGAAACTTGTCAGAAGAAACTATTGAGTAGGTGAATTTTTAATGAATTGTAGACATTTAATTAAAGATAAAACATATTAAATAGGAAATAAACATAACTTAAAAATCTTTGTTTCATTACATGAATTATTTCTAATGATAAACAATGTAATCTGTGGTATAGAGGCTTAATGCAATCTTTGATTCAAGGCTTATCAAACCAAAGAAATACAGTTTGGCCTCTTATAATGGTGATGAGTATATGATATTTATGGGGTTATTTTTAGTCCTTTTTAATTCACCATATAGTAACTTAAATTAACTTAAGTGTGTGAATAATATTATGGCATTGTGGTCAATATATTACTTGATGTTATAAAGTGGACCAACTATTTAATGATCATATTATAAATTTGTTTTCTTTGCAAAAGGAAGAGAAATATGTAACAAACATTATACAGTTTGTCCACTGTATAATATTGAATAATAAATTAGGAGCAATGACACACCTAAATTAATTAACTATATGGACAGTTAAGAGAGACAAGAAACCCTATAAATATATATACATATATAGGTATTAAAATCTAACATGGTAGCATTTCTAGGAAACCAAATTGTTTTCCAGTAGATAGAACAGTATTTAAATATTGTACTTGAGAATACACTGTTTTTGAAAGAAATGTGGATATCAAACTCATTTATTAGACTTCTGTATAAATTAGCATTCTAAAAATCAATATTTTAAAAGACAATATTATACATGCCATTAATGTAGCAAGGTTGATTATGGTATAGCCTATATGCATTGAAAAATTAATCTTATTTTTTCAGTTTATAGAAAAAAATATCAGTGTTCATATTAAATTTAAACCCACACATTTATTTTACTTTTATATAAGCAAAATTAAGGTTCATTATAAGATATCAAATATTTTTAACAACGGATTTCTTTTTACAGCAAGTTTTGCTCTACCGAACATTACATTAAATAACAATATGCATTTCCACCCCCCATTATCATGCAAGTCTAACTACTTGAAAGGCAGTTTTGAATTAAACAGGCTTCCCACAAACTTATTTACAATAAATTCAAATATTTTCAATAGTCAATTCCAATAACATTGAAGTATCATCCAGGGTTTATCTTTTAATTTGGTGTACAAATCCCCCTTACAGCTGTCTAATCCTTCTACACAAGTTTTACATTGTTAGTGCTATAGTGTCAATTGTTGTAAGATAAATACAGATTTCAAGGAATAATAAACAATACTGGAATTAACATTGGATGTAAAATAAAATGTATTAGTAATACCACTGGTAGCTATACCTTTTCCAGTATCAGTTATTGAAAAACATACTTGCATAAATAAAAAAAGAAGGAAGAGATACTTTTATTGTTTCTCATTTGAACGTAAACATTGTTTTGCAGAATTTCTACTCCTTAGAAGTTAAGACAATGAATGGTCCTTCTGTAATTTTTCAATTTTTTGAGTCATGCAATTATATTTATCCTTCAAGTTCTCAACATTTAAGTGAAATTGAAAGTTTAATCTTTATTGAAATGAACTTATTTAAATTCAAGCGCTTTTAAACATATGAGAATCATAGTAAAGCAAAATAGCCCTTAAAGATATTTATTCTTTTGATGTTAATTGGTAACGCTTCAAATACCATGGGTATTTGAAATTTAGCCAACATTCGACTTTTGTCAATGTACTTTCAATTGAAAACGAATATCAAACACCAAATGAAATTCGAAAATTTATTAATAAATTTGAAAGATTTAATCAAATGGAACAAAAAGTAAAGTATACCACCAAATAGTACTATATATTAGTAGAAAATAGCTGATACGTGCAACATATCAATACAAGTAGACACATTACTACTTTATTAAACATGCAATTTTACGTGACAGCCCAAAGGATAGGGTCGGCTACTGCCAAAAACAAAACAGCAAAATATTCATTTTGAACAAACGTCTAATAGTGAGTTAAGAATGATCGTTTTTTAACCATTCTTATGACGTCTTTGTTTTCATACTTTTTTTCTTCAACTTCCATTGTAGCCAGTTTCGAACATATCCGCTGTTCTCTTGTAATCGTGCTGCAGGTCTGTGTTAAGAAAATTCAAATTAACTTTTAGTAAAACAAACTCCATGTTTAGACAAATACCAAAGTTTCCAACAATACGTCACTAATATTTACATACACGTACCTCTTAATATTAACTTTAAGCAGTAGTTTTAGAAATCTGCTAACTTTGAATTCATTCCAACTTTCATTGTTGTGAAAAAGAATGCTATCAGAAAGATACTGTTATGAAATATTTAATATCTGTCTCTTGATCTTATTAGTATGTTTGTATTGTGGCATCGTAAACTTTTAGGTGTAAACGCCATCACCCAACCAGGAGCAATTATAAATAATAGAATTTCTATTTGGAAATGAACTATTAAGTGAGACTGAAATGTATTTTCTGTTGTTTGAACATTAGAATTATTTGGGTAATATATCTGGTTTCGTGGAAGTTTAGTAAGTTATGAAGTATCACTAAATATTTTGACGATAAGTTCTTTCACATGTAATTTTGTTTTATTATTATTTTATATAGATAACATATCAATAATTTTCGTATGATACTGTTACGACAGCGGAGGTCACGTGACCCTAGTAACACGTCATATTCTCGAAGGTTCGTGAATGCTCGAGCGTTTACTAGATTTCGGTGTTCTTGTACATATAAAACGGCCAAGACGTGACTGCAACAAGGGGTAATTGAACTGCGGACAGAGAGAGAGACGTAGTGTTGAGCGAGCACGTGAGACGTTCGTTGTGAATTATAGCGTTTGTTATAGCGTGACTGTGGAAATTAAGTGTATTCCAAGTTGTATTCAGAAAGAATAAACTAGTTTTATTTAAGAAAGGACTCGTGTCGCTAAAGTTTCATCGGAAAGAAATTATACGGGAAGTTAACTAACGACCAGAGACGTAACAAATTGGTGTCAGAGAGTGGGACAAAAAAAATGGAAACGAGAAGCGGCAAATCAAACTACAGCTTAGCAGATTTGATGGCAGCAATACAAGAGCAGCAAAAGAAACAAGAAGAACGAGAAAATAAACAAGAAGAGAGACAACAGCAATTGCAAGAAAACCTGCAACAGTAGCAGCTCGAACAGCAAAATAAACAAGAAGAGAGATTACAGCAGTTGTTGGAGGAAAAAGAAAGGAAACAAGAGAGATTACAGCAGAGGCAACTAGCACAAGAAAGGTACAAATGGGAAAACATTAGTAAATTTTAAAGCGAATTAGATACATTAAAGGATGATTTATTGTCTTATACACAAAGAGGACACATTAACCATCAACTTAATCAGCCCCAGACAATGGCAAGCCCCTTCCAGACCCTGCAGCTAAACCCTAATGCAGACACCTTCAGTCCTGTTAGAAGACACATCCCAGATATGAATGTCAGCAATAGGGGTGATCCAGTTCGAAGGAAGCCAAAGGAACTCGATGGGAAAGCACCGTGGGAAGCATATAGAGCACAATTTGAGCTACTGGCAGAGATGAATGGATGGCGGACTCTCGTCCTAAACCTAGCCCTCTAGACTTCGGACTGATTTTGAGTCCCATACCCGAGTTCTAGAGCCGCTACCAGTGCTCTATAGTTGTGCCTGTCGTCTGCTGACAACTGTCCAAGTATTTCCAGTGGTTGTCCCTTCAGGCTCGTTGCCAGATATACTGCTTTCTTCTCCTCTGTTTGCTAAATGGGAGAGCCTGCAAGAGCTGTCACAGGACTTGGAAAGTATGGCACACAAGGCCTACCCAACTGCACCACCCGATCTCCTCAAGTTGTTGCTGAGAGATCAGTTTGTAGACGCCTAGGACAGTCCACAACTAAAGATACAAGTGGAGCAAGCACACCCCTCTACTATGCAAGATGCAATGGCCAGAGCTCTTGAATTTGAATCATACGTTAAGTCCAGCACAGAGGTACCAAGGTTGGTACATTCATCAGGATTCAAGGCCAGAAAAGGGCA